AACAACTTTGATTTGTTCAGTCAGTGCAGCTAGGAGTAGAACAGCCAACGTAGAATAAATGATAAAGAAACTGAAACTGACAATAGGTTGACTACCTTGGTCAAATATTTAAAAATAAACTGTAACAAACCTTCTGTCAAATGATTCAGAAAGTGCAATTAGGATTTCCATATATAATTTAAAATAAATCCCAGAGTGAGGCACATAGAATAGATCTGTCCTTACGGATCGTTCACATCATCATCAATACCCAAAGTAGAATTTTTTCAATGGGGAAACCGATACAGATATTAATATCAGATCTGTGAGTCTCTATTCTGAAACCTGGTCTAAAATAACACCAAGTTTCTTTACTATGAGATCTGATTCCTGGTCAGCAGCTTTCTCACCGATGCCCAAATGAAACACATTTTGCGCTGAATAAATATCACACACATTTTCAAAGCATATGTAGAGAAAACAAATTCCTCCTTTTGGTCAGTTGAGACTGTGATCATTTTTCACAGAGTCGTTCGGAGCCATTTACGTCCTTTTTAAGGTGTAATTTAATGCGCCATGATTACTTACCATTATGACTAAAGTCTTTTGCATTCAAACTGTCTTCAGCTCTTCTCTGGGTTCTCCCACAGCTTTTATTTCACTATAGGATCATCAAAGCAGAAGGCTTCATCACAAAGGAACATGAGGAGAAATGGAGTTAAGTGTGAGCTACAGGGGGTCTAATCTGGCAAATTTGGCTTCGCTGGAGACGGAGGAGTGATGATTTACAAGTCTGTGAACGTGTGTGTGCGTGCGTGTGTGTGTGTGTGTGTGTGTGTGTGTGTGTGTGTGTGTGTTTTTGTGTGTGTGTGTGTGTGTGTGTGTGTGTGTGTGTGGGTGGGGGGGTGGAGGGGGGGTGAAGGCAGCGGGAGGTGGGGGTTTTAGGAACTTATGTGCGTTGATGTATTTAAGTCTTCCTAAGTTCTTCCTTTCAGCTAAAACTGAAGTGTACTGTAAAACTACCTCTTTCTGTTTTCTTTAACACAGGTTTGCAGAACTTTGCTGCTTATACGATCAACATCAAAATCAGACAGGTTAATTTTTTTTTTTTATTAGCAGGAACTTTATATTAAATGGCAGTAATAGCTTGTTAATTTAAATTTATTATAGTTTAGTACTAAAATAATAATAACGGTTCAGTTGAAAGACAATAAAACAGACGTCTGCGTCCTCTTTATTATTGTGATGAATCAACTGAATTGATTATTGAAATAAGCTTTGACATATTTAATAATCAATAAATTAAGTGGAGCATACAGACGCTGAAAAAGGTGATCTGCAGAAAGAACAACATATTCAGAGCAGTAATTAATAAAAACTGCACAAAACTATAAACATTTTGCAATTAAGATAAAAAAAAACAGCAAATATAAATAAGTTCATATCAAAACTGGTTCAAATTCTGAAAAAAAAACTCCTATTAAGTATCTTTTGCGATTCAATTATTAATCGGTTAATCCTAACAATAGTCAGTGCAGGTGCATCTGTTGCTAGAAATGATCAAAAGCTGAATGAAATAATTTGTTTAACGTATTTTAGATGCAATAAGAAGTTTATTTTCATATATATTTCAGAGACAGTTAAATTATTTGTTAATTTATACGTTGTAGTACATTTGTATATAAAAAGATTTAAGAAATTAAATGAAAAACTCTGCAGAATGTATCAATTTGTTTATCCACTTAAGGACAGAAAGATGCATTTCATCTTCAGCAACGGTAAAGTTGGGAATTTCTAATGCCAGGTTTCTTGTCAAAACTTCTTGAATAGTCAATAGAGATGGTAAACATCATTTTCTGCTCACACATGCCTCCCCAAGCGATCTTACACCACAGTTACTGTGCATTAAGCTTTCTGCAAAGAGCATAAACAAAGCAGAGGACTATGGATGCTGTGTCCCAAATGTTCTCTCTCTACAGCCACTTTGCTTTTCATGACGTCATCATTCCCATCTTCAATCATGTGTGTTGCTTGGACTGGTGTTGACTGGACTGATGCTGGTGGTGTTGGCTGGACCACAGGTTTAGTACAGCCAAGGTCCAGATGTGGACAAAAACACAGAGAGATGTACTTCAGGAGCACGAGGATCATGTGTTTTCCAGCCACATGGTGCCATTTTGTAGCACAATCAAGTAACTATGTTACCTTCAGTTGTTATAAAAATGCCATATACATTAAATATATCAAAAGTAATTTAGTTTAGTAATTTAACACCTTGACATAAGGCTAAAAAAGAACATTCGAACTTTTGATTCAAGGAACTTCTTTTCCACCATCTCTGCAATCTCAACTATCCCTGCAGCAGGGCTAATACTGGCTTATATCAGCTTAATTCAAAAATACTTTATCTCAAAGGAAAATTAAATAAATACATATCCAAGAAGGAAGAAAAACAGAAAAAAAGAAATTGAGTCTCTGTCTCTTTAAAAACTCCTGTTCTTTCTGAAACTCCGCCCTCAGGAAGTCATTACAAAATGGCTCCTCTATTCACCCTTTAACAATATTTTACCAGTGTTTCACTGAGAAGTAGCTTCTATAATGAGCTCAGCAGATGCTTGTTTTGCTAATTGCTGCTGGCTAGTCTGAAGGAGTTGACTGGGAGAGGGCTGCTCTGTGAGGAGGAAGTTTGGAAACTGCAGTTCAGAGGAGGAGCTTCATCTTGAAGGTGCAGCTAGGATCACCCAGGGTTTTTGCACACTTGAATGGTTGCCACGGGAGATTGAAGGATTTCTCAAACATGCATGATGGAATTAAGACAACACTCCAGGTACGTTTTTGATGAGGTAGTAACATTATAACATTATTTCCATAATACTGCCCCTTTAAAATTGCACTGAGGTGGAATTTTCAAACAAGCAGCTTAGCGTTTTGCTCTGTGACCCGCGTTCAGATCACCAGGCACCTCTGGTTTGCCTCACTGTACTGGGTCAGAACCAGCAGGCTCTCTGAGACCTCAGACACACACACACACACGCACACTGCAGTGTATGGCAGTTCTATTGGGGCTCCTCACATTGTCCAGACGGCGGCCCAGTGTCAGGCAGTGAAATGAATGGCTGTTTATATTAGAGAGCTGCTTTAATGAATTAGAGCCACAGTGACTGCAGGTCCACACCAGGCACACAGAGGCCAGACCCCGTCCTCCCACTGCCCATTACGCCAGGGCGACACCCTGATTGGGTCCTCTGGGACGGGCCAGTCAGGACGCCCAACGGCGCCCCTCGGAGGACTGCGCTTATTTACAAAGGGCATCTGGCAGAGCATGGCCTCCCTCTCTCTCTCCAGCCTCACCCATCACATCTCCCCCACGGCCTCGCCCGGCCTGTTTATATACACGTGTGGGAGGCTGAGCCGAGCAGCAGAGGATTACTGCACAACACGCACCAGTTTGAACAAATATATATACAGCATGAGGTTTGCCACCCAGCCGAACGCATATACAGGCCTTCCATGAGACCCACCAAGGTTGCTGTTGGCTCTGTGTGAGTGGGTCCAGCAGGGAGGGGGGGAAAACCCCCGAAAAACCGTCAACTTACATCTTTGTCAACGGACTGAGGAGTGGAGCTTCAGAGAGCGCACTGCGTGACAGCCACAGACCAACAGGAGAGTTATAAAGACCAAATTCAGATCAGTTCCACCTGCTTCAAATGTCGTCAGCCCGTTAAAATGGCCGTTATAGTTATCATCTCCATAGCTTACCTTCACACCGTTTCTCTGAGCATGCTCAGTAGGTTTATCACCAAATCACTGCTTTAACCGACTATGATAAATCCAAATTCCAGTTCTGACATATTCTGATTTACACAGAAGAGTGAAACCGTTTTACTCACAAACTGCTACGTTTCCATAGTAACTACCAAAATGTGCATGTCATCATTTTGAGTGATGTATTTTTATGAACAAAAACGTTACTATAACGTAACGGTGGAACTTTACTATTTTATTCTAGTGTAGTAGAAAAAATGTATGTTACTTGTGTGTTAGAGTACTGATATTTTCTCAGTCTGTTAAAAAACTAAAATACAGAAAAAGAAGCAAGGAGAGCTGTTCAGGGGAAAAAACAAACAAGATACCACTTGTCCTATCAGTAACTGCATTTCCATTGACCATATAAATCCGCAAATTGGAATTACAAAAAAAAAAAGTGCTTAATGGAAACATCTTAATTTAAATAATAAATAGATAAATAAATAAATTTTTAGATGAAAAAATTCTGCAATTGGATGAGGTGGTTTTCCGGCTGTATTTAAATTACTGCATTTTGCAAAACTGCACTTTTTTCGCATCACATGGGTCACATGGTCAACATTGAGATCAATGAAAAGATCAGTCTCCTCCACTTCTACCCTACCTTACTATTGCAGTCTGAAGAATTTCATCACACTAGACCAGGAGTGGGCAACTCCAGGGCCGGACTCCTGCAACTTTTAGATGTATCTCTACTTCAACACACCTGAGTCAAATAATGAGGTCGTTAGCAGGACTCTGTAGAACTTGACTGTACTTAGGAGTAGATTAAGCTATTGGATTTAAGTGTGTTGGACCAGGGAGACATCTAAGAGTTGCAGGACGCCGGCCCTCGAGGACCAGGTTTGCCCACCCCTGCACTAGACCAACAAGAACCAATCAGAATCAGGAAGAGGCTCTAAACATTGCCAATTAACTTCATTAGGAACATTTGCTAATGGTAAAATGTTAATTACCATTTAACGGTGGTCATGCTAACTAGCATGAGCTAGCATACGCATTCACAACCATAACCAGATCTGCTAGCTGCAGCATAGCACAGAGCATGGAGGGGGAAGTGAGCAGCAGCAGCAGCCCAGGGAAAATGACAGCGCTAAGACCCGCCTCCTGGCTCTGATTGGCTGTTTCTAGATAGCACTGGGAGAAGAGGAGCTAAATTTTTTTTGACTAATTATTTGTCTCAGTTTGTTGAAACTGTGACACGGTGACAGTTTCTACAAATAGATAAGACAAAAACCTTATTTTTTCTCTTTTTTTTGGAAAACTTATTTAGCTACTGCAGTTTTAATGGAAACAATTGTGAAATTGAGTGTGTTTTTTTTTTTTTTCTTCACGTTTGGGGAACATCGACAAAGTTTTGCGCTCGCATTTGTAACAGAAGCGCAGCTCCTGGTTCCGATCGGCTTCCCTTCAGGCAGAGCGTCCTGACGCCCGCCGCTCCTCCAGCCACGCGCCATGAAATGATTCCATCTCTTCTTCTCCTCACAAAACCCAGTAATCATCTTTCTTTGGCGCTCATCTCTCATTTTCCTTTTGTTGTCTTCCCCTGCTCCCGCTCGTCCTCCGTCTCTAATTTAGCCAGCGTCCCGCGGCGCTCGGGAGCGTCTCAAATTGCTTTTGTCCATTTGCGTACGAGGCCGTGGACGGTGTGTGTGTGTGTGTGTGTGTGTGTGTGTGTGCGCTTGGCGGCTCGCGTGAAAGCAGTCTGCAGCAGCAGGGTGGTGGGTTGAGATTGCTGTAATCATGAAGTGCTACCTGTTCATTAAACACGCAGTGGGAACCCTGCCTGCAGCGTTTAGGAACCAATTAAAGAGGCACAAAGCTATTAACATTAGCAACGTTAGCTTGGAGGAGCGTGTGCGCGCGCGTGTGTTTCTGCAGCGAGCTACCAATGCGATTAAAATGTAGGTTTTCAACCAGGTGTGAAGAGATGAAGGTAAAATCTCAGTGTCTGGTTCACACACTGCAGATGTTTTGCTCCCAAGGGCTAAACCTTTCACACGGCAAAAAAAAAAAAAAAAAACCTTTTGGGGATTTTGGGTCTGGGTTTTAGGGGAAAA